GGGTGCCTGTAGTCCTAGCTAAGTTTGGGGTTGCTGTGAGCTGTGATGCCATGGCACTCTAACCAGGGTGACTGCTTGAGACTCAAAAAACAAAACAAGATCCATTTGGGTTATATGGTGTGTATTAAATTTGTTGTTTTTATTGATGAGTAGAATTCCATGGTAAGGATGCACCACAGTCTGTTTAATCTGAGTTGTTTCCAGTTTGGGGTTATTATAAACAAAGTTGCTATGAACATTCATGTACAGGTTTTTGTGAAAACATAGTTGTCAAATGCCCAAGAGTGCAAGTTATGGTTGTTTGTATGGTAGTTGCGTATTTAGTTGTTTTTTTTTTTTTTTTGAGACAGAGCCTCAAGCTGTCACCCTGAGTAGAGTGCTGTTGCATCACAGCTCACAGCAACCTCCCGCTCCTAGGCTCAAGTGATTCCCCTGCCTCCACCTCCCAAGTAGCTGGGACTACAGGCACCCACCACAATGCCTGGCTATTTTTTGGTTGCAGACATCATTGTTGTTTGGTGGGCCCAGGCTGGATTCAAACCCGCCTGCTCAGGTGTATGTGGCTGGTGCCTTAGCCACTTGAGCCACAGGTGCTGAGCCATAGTTTTTTTTTTTTTTTCTGAGACAGAGTTGCAAGCTGTTGCCCTGTAGAGTGCTGTGCCATCACAGCTCACAGCAACCTCCAACTCTTGAGCTTAAGCCATCCTCTTGCCTCAGCCTCCCAAGTGGCTATTTTTTTGTTGCAGTTGTCATTGTTGTTTTAGCTGGTCCAGGCCAGGTTCCAACCTGCCAGCCTCAGTGTATGTGGCCATTGCCCTACCAACTGAGCTATGGGCACTGCTAGTTTTTTTTTTTTTTCTTTAGACAGTCTCATTTTCTTGCCTTGGTAGAGTGCCACGGTGTCATAGCTCACAGCAACCTCAAACTCTTAGGCTCAAGTGATCCTCTTGCCTCAGCCTCCCAAGTAGCTGGGACTATAGGTACCTGACACAATGCCTGGCTTTTTTCTTTTTTTAGTGACAGAGTCTCATTCCATCGCCCTTGGCAGACTGCTGTGGTGTCACAGCTCACAGCAACCTCCAGCTCTTGCCTCAGCCTCCCAAGTACCGGTAGCTTGGACTACAGGCACCTACCACAATGCCTGGCTATTTTTTGTTGCAGTTTGGCTGGGGCTGGGTTTGAACCCGCCACCTTCAGTATCTGGGGCAAGAGCCCTACTCATTGAGTCACAGGCGCTGCCCTCGCCCAGCTATTTTTTAGAGATGGGGTCTTGCTTTTGCACAGGCTGGTCTTGAACTCCTGAGCTCAAGCAATCCACCTAGCTCAGCCTCTCAAAGTATAGGCATGAGCCACCGTGCCCGGAACTTTTCATTCTTTTAATAAGGTCTTTTGCAAAAGAAAAGTTAGTTTTGATAAGGTTCAATTATTCATCAATTTTTTTTCTTTTTTGGATCATGTTTTTGGTGTTTTAAACCCCTAAGTTCAAAATCTCTGGATCATCTTTGATTCTTCATCTCTTTGTTCATGCCTCTGCTACATCTTTTTTTTATTTCTTAAATTAAATTGTAACTGTGTACATTAATGCAATCATGGGGTACAATGTGCTGGTTTTATATACAATTTGGAATGTTTTCATCAGCTTGGCGCCTGTGGCTCAAGTGGCTAAGGTGCCAGCCACATACACCTAAGGCCCGCCAAACAACAATGATGGCTGCAACCAAAAAATAGCCAGGCGTTGTGGCCGGCTCCTGTGGTCCCAGCTACTTGGAGGGTGGAGGCAGGAGACTTGCTTGAGCCCAGGAGTTGGAGGTTGCTGTGAGCTGTGATGCCACAGCACTGTACCCAGGGGGACAGCTTGAGGCTCTGTCTCAAGAAAAAAAAATGAAATGTTTTCATCAAACTGTTTAATGTAGCCTTCACGGCATTAGTTATTGTGTTAAGACATTTATATTCTACACCTAGTACATTTCACGTGTACCCTTGTAAGATGCACTGTGGGTGTGGTCCCACCAATTACTCTCCCTCCACCCATCCTCCCCCCTCTCCTCCCCTCCCTCTCCCCTTTCCCCTTCTTGGGTTATAATTGGGTTATAGCTTTCATAAGAAAGCTATAAATTGGTTTCATAGTAAGACTGAGTACATTGGATACTTTTTCTTCCATTCTTGAGATACTTTGCTAAGAAGAATATGTTCCAGCTCCATCCATGTAAACATGTA